AATGCTGTGGGTCTTAGAGGTACGTACACTTCTGTGCTAGTTAATAGACAGTGCGACTGCTAGTGAGACTTTGTACAGTTGTGAGCGTTTCGACTGCATTATCATGCTCCCATAATTTTCTTTCTGTTAGGCTCTGGAACCCTGAGTAAGTCGTTAGCTATCAAATTTGATTCAGTCAGAGTATTCCCGATTTCTTGTACCATCCTTATTTCCCTACATTTTTATATCATTATTGCAAATTAATTTCAGTAGACCCTTTGTAAAGAACTACTCACTACTCATTGCAATAAGCTGGGAAATGTCAAGAGTTGTAGCGAAAATGGACTGGGGGAAGCACTCAGTTGTTGCTCAATATCCAGAATCGAGGAAATCGTGACAAGCTTCTACTCCACCCTGTTTAGATGGGAACTTTTAAGCGCTAGGGAGAGAAGACCAATTCTGAAGGAATCGCTATCTTTTCTCTCATCGGAGGTGCGCCATGCGATAGAAACAATGCCTCGAAGGCAAAAATAAAGCGCCGAGAAAGGACGGCATCACCATAAAACTCCTACAAGAGTGTTGACCCACTTCGTCGATCACTTGCAAGGCTGTACACTTGCTACATGGCCGAACGTGCGGTTCGAACGGCAGTCCTCAACGGTGCTGCTGTTCAAGAAAGGCGACAAAGAAGATCTAGCGAATTATCGTCCCTATCACGCTTCTGCCAGTACTTTATAAGGTGTTTACACGCTGTATACTGGCACGTATCCGCAGACCACTAGAAGAAGCCCAGCCGATAGAACAAGCGGGTTTTCGTCGGAAACTTCAGCACTCTGGACCACATCGTAACTTGCCGACGCCTCATCGAAGCATCCCGTGAGCACCACCTCTCGTGATGAACTTTATTGAAAGAAGGCATTCAACTCGGTGGAGCCAGCGAAGGTCTTGAAGGCGCTGCTGGGTGTTGGAAGGATCTACGTGGATATACTGCGAGAATTTACTACGAACGTACAACAGAATTCCATCTTCAAACAGTGTTTTTTAGCAGTTCAGAATGGCGAACGCCAAAGCAATCATATCGCCTCACCTTGCTCACTCCTGGATTGCTACCACATCTCTTTTCCGCTTGCCTAGAGCACGTAATACGCTACTGCGTCAGGAGCAACTTTGGCGTCAACATCGAAGGTGTGCGTCTCAATCATTTGCGATTTGCCGACGACATCGTGTTGATCACGAACTCTCCAGAACACGCTTCTGAGATGCTGCATCGTCTGGATGAGGAAGGGAGCCACTATGGTCTCACTATCAATACCTCTAAGACCAAAGTGATGCGAAACCCATTCTCAAGCAGCATTTCCCGTACTTTTGAAATGAAGTCCTAGGAGGCGTTAACGTGTCTGTTACCTCGGGAGCCAGCGACATGAGGAACGACTTGAATGGAGAGCTAGCAAGACGTCGCAAAGCTATGGGCTGTATTTAACTTCATACGAAGCGTAATGGAGGACATCAAGAACCGCATACTCAAAGCGGACCTCCACTAAACTGTTTTGCCTGCCCTCAGCTATGCAGGAGTAAACCTAGGGCACTAACGAAGTCACTGGAAAGGCAATTAATATCTACCCAGGCATCGATTGAACGCCGTCTTCTGGGTCTTGACGTTGAGTCGCCAACGAGAGCTGAACTTCATAATTCCGACGTCAGAGCCATGTCACAAGTCAAAGATGTTCTTCTTCACGTCGATGAAGCGAAGCACAGATTCGCCGGACACCTGATGAGGAGAGATGACGGACGATGGAGTTCGGCTACTGTGCGATGGTACCCCGCGAGAAGAAACGGCCGCAAGGCCGTCCTCCTTTACGATGGGCAGATTCTCCAGCTCATCGAGACAACGTCTATAGTCCCTTTAGGATGATCGCGTACTGGACAACCATAGGCAATTATCGAGAACAATGGAAAAGAAATAGGTCAGTGAGTAACTATAGGCTTCTAATCGAGTTATAAACTTCTTCATTAAGCACCGTTTTTCAGAGAACGCCACGCCCACCGGAGATGAGGTCTCCTAATTCAATCTGGCTTACCAATGCACACCTTTACCCATTTTCCCAGTCTCTAGGCTGTTTTGGAATCGAATTTGAATTTTGGTTGCCATTACCGCTTAGCTAGATGCACGACACAAACCTTGGGAGGGGTTGCGCTTAGCTGGTTTATGTTCTGTTCTTCTCGACCTACGTCCCACACATGCCCCACTTGACCCGGTCTACAGACTCTCTTTCGCGACAGATACACACAATGACATACGACAGAACGACAGAACGACAGAACGATAGAAAGACGACAGGCGAAGTGCTTTATCGTATTTCTGATAGTGCGAGCGACATGTTCCTTCCTCATTTAATAGACGTTTCAGTGCGCGTTCTGTGCCCAAGTACTAGTAGAAGTCGGATCAGTTCAAAGGCTCATTTCGTAATATGTTCACTAGAGTAACCCTTTCGGCGGATATGATAGAGGTATTTATGGAAGTTGCAGATCTGTCGTTTTTACAGCCCCATAGTGAGCGACCGAGGCGCAAGGGCCGATTTCTGGTCCGAACCCCAAAGAAAAGTCCGTATTCTGATTTGATTTTGATTTGAGTGTTTTTGTTGGCTTCTTCTGCCTTGTATATCGATCGCTGGTCTCGTCGCACCCTCGCTTCCATTTTCGAGCTGTATACCTAATATTGGTGATTGCGAAATGTTCCTCTGAGTGAGCTTGAACAAATTGTGAATGAAACTATAACAGAAGCGCTACAAAACGCAGTGCAATTAATAAGAACATGGGAAGATGAAAGGGTGATGTGAACTTTTCACGAAAGTGCAACACAGTAATCACGTGTGACTGTCAAAACGTACTGGTCGAAGTGTTCCAGGCTCGATATGTGTGAGAAGATTGTGAGGCTGTAGCTTGTGAGTAATCAGTTTACATTCATTGTACACATAAATCCATCACTTGGTTTATAAAGGCTTAGCCTTTCACAAAAGCAACACGAATGGACAATGAAGGGAACAGTTTACACAAGGCGTAACCCATTGCGCACCACCGTTGTGCTTACATCTCTAGAGGGTTTTGCCATCTGTTCCTGTTCCGTTCTGTTCATGACCTGTCGATAAATTTATCATTTCCGCTACATATTTCCGACGACGGAAAATTATACCGCGCGCTTTTGAAATTGGAGGGGTGCCCGATCGTTCAAATAGCACGATTCTTCTTGAGGTGGCTGCGCGATGCACTTGGAGCACCACGTGGTACGCAATGAGGTAAAGTGGGTTTAGAAACGAGTAACGTGAAACAAAAGTAGCTGTACCTTGTGCTTGTGCTTATCCACATAACCAGGACACAATATTTGCTTCCATGCAATCACTGCGGTTTTTCGAAAATTTGCGCTGAAATCAGCCTCATAATAAAATGTACGTAATATAGAAATGACAAATAAATTTTGAACAAAGTCAGATGGTGAAACAGCACTCACCTTGAAAACGCGTAAACTACCACATCTATCGCTGTGTTTATGTAGTATAAGTAATGAGCAGTGTTATATATGTACTGAAAATACAATTATTGGCTATGTCCGGTTAAGATTCGAAACAGACTATCCACCGTCTATAATGTGATTCTATGAAAAAGGGTGGATCAGAGTCGATTCAGTTCAACGCTATTGTGAGGGAAAGAAAAACGAGGATTATTCACGCTGTTCATGTAAGTGTTTAGATGTCGTAGGAATTTCTTCTCAAAGAGTCTCATGATATTTTTTTTATTTTTTTCGGTCATTCTACCTTGCGAACTAAATTACTTAGCTGTTGTTTAAACGCGGCTGAAACAAAGTTGAAGGCTGGTCATTAGCTGTTCACAGCTAGGCTGACTTAAAGGCAAACCCCGGGATAAGTCCAAGTGGATCAATCCCTTTGCTGAGGACCGTCCCTTGTAAAGACACCGGTCTTCTGTTCTGGGATTTGTACAGCAAGGTTTTCAAGTATTTATCAAAACTGTTCTGACCGCCTTCGATTTCTCACAGAGATGTGGTGTCTTGCAGCTTGTCTCCCTTTGTGCTCACTCGTCTACCCCTCTCCTCGGCGCTCAGTATCAGTATCTCCATTTTACTATAGACCGATCACAAGAATGGCAGAGCGCCCAATTTTAGGATTTTCTGCGGATTCTTCTTTTTTTCCCGGCCCCTATGAAACCCTCTTTCAATTTCATTAATGGCACCACTTTGATCGTGAACTGTGCCTTTAGGGCAAGAATATTCCTTCAGTAGTGAAATCTTAGCAATACTGCCTGTACAGAACGAAATCTTGGGTCTCTGCTGAGGCGACGTGCTTCGCCAACAGTTCAGCATTCTTGCGAGAAACTCTGCATAAAGACAGCGTTTGAAAACTGCAGTCAGTTGAACTCACGATTCAATTTTTCGCCCCGAAGAAGTGTTTATCTATTAGATGTGGTTAGAAATGTAGAGGAGTCCTGTATATATGGAGAGGAGCTTGTATTAGGTTATTGCATTATGAGTGTCGCTTTTGGATGTACACAAAATTTGTTGGAAGCAATCATTCGGTACCTCAAAACGAGAGGCGACCACTTTAATGTGTAAGGCTTCGCCATTCCGCACGCAGGGACTTGACCTCCTTCTCAAAGAATCGTAGCAATCGCGCGCAGGTAAAATTTGGACATCCAGAGTCCGATTTTTTTTACTCATGGGATCGTTTCTCCTTAAACGTGCCGCGTTGACTAGATGCGAGGCGCAAAGAGAGTGTTGACAAGGGCTAATTGGCGGGGAAGTCGAAAGTCTTCAGTCCGGTCTTGCACTTTTTCGCTGATTATTTTTGTCGTGAAAATGTAGCTTTTTGGTAATGAAGTGAGTTCATGAAATTTCGTATAACTTCGTAGGTTTCAAGTTCAAGAAATTTCTTTCTACGCGAATGGAGCGATGGCTTGGGTAGGGAATCAAATTTTAAGAGACCTTGCCGTGACCTGTGGCCGGACCTGTGGCCGTGACTGGGTTACCATCAAGAATGTCTCTCGAGAATCCACGTGCACAACAGAATTACCGTCAGTCATCGATTCAAAAAATATTCACAAATATTTATATACCAATTTGACTTCATTTCTTTCGAATGAATTGTGGATGTTCAAATGCAGTTTTGGGGTAAAGCTAAATCTGAGCGACATTTGTAATGCAACAACCTATTGAATACGCTCGAGACGAAAATAGCCACTGAAGTATCAACGAGGAGCACTCATAGGAGAGAATTATTACAATTTATCTCAGTTTTGGATTCGTTTCTCCACGGCACACCAAATTTGTGTAGTGGACGGGGCACAAGTCAGTCGTGAACTGTTTCAAAAATTCTAAAAAGATGCTATATTTCTTACCACGAAAACCTGAGATCGATGTGTGAATTCGGGTGACGAATGATAGACGACTTGCGAAAAGACTTCGATCATCATTATTACATAGAAAGGAGTGTTTAGCACGACGAAAACCAATGGCATCACCCATAAAATACGAGTCAGAGATCCAGACTGCGCGTGTCAGGCCTGCAATTTCATGGAGTTTTAGGGACTCATTATCAAGCTTTAGATCTGAAAATATCGCTTCAGATAAAGTAACTGTTTCCAGATAAAAAAAACTTCGAATGATTCTCCGATAATCAGCAAGTTCTGCAACAAGTGGGCGGGTTCGCGTAACAGTAGTGTATTCATCCCTTCAGCGGTAATGGCACCCACCGGTACATGCCCACTGCGCGTCACGTGGACAATGTCAAGTGCACAATGGCGGGGCCATCTTAGAATCCTTCTCGAAAAAGATATCTTGCAATCTATCCCAAAACAGATATGTCAGTTGTGATCACTAGTGACACATACAAAGTTTCAGCCACAAAGATTCAGTTTCCGAAGAGGAACGATTTTGCAGAAACCACACCCTGGACAATCGTAAATGGGACGGTGCCTAAAGCGGGGAATGGAAAGAAGAGTGCCCTCGGGCGGTTACGTGTCAGGCGACGCGACGGAAAGGGCCCGTAGCGGCCCTCTCGGGTTTTCAATTTTTATCAAAAAAATATATATAATAAATCAAATAGCATAATAATAAATTATATAAGATTCCCTTTCTAGTCGTGAAACGATTGTCATGTCAGTGAAATATGAGTGGATTGAGAAATCACGCGTTTTATTTACGAGCGATATCCGTGTTAAATCTTGTTTCTTTAAGCGACCTTTAAGAAATATCTAATACATCCTTCCTATATAAGAAATTTGGTCGCAGCTTATGCATACCTTTGATTAGCATTGTTAAACAGAGCTGCTCAATTAGGAATTATAATTTACCTTAATTTCACGTGTTGGTATTTCAGTCCGCGTATTATTAACTGGTGGTTCTTTTGAAGTTTTTTTTTTTTTTTCTGTGTAATCAGGCTAATGAATAATTTATATCCGCCACTTCTCCGTCTTACTGTAGTCTTCAGAGACGAGAGGGTTATGAATTGTATCAAAAATTCTATTGAACGTATTTCCGAGTCCCCCTTGCAACCTTCAATTCTCTTCCTACATAGTGTATGATATGATTTGCGTAATAACTTCGTATAGCATACAGTTACGTTTGTTATTGCTCAAGTCAAAAATTAGATAGGAAAGCTACCTATAGAATTAATTTTGTCTAATATTGAGCGATTTTAGGGCGCGCTGAAATAAGGCGTGGTCTCACGAGTTAGTTTCGTGCAAATCCGCAGTGTCGCCAAGAGGTACTGCATTACTTTGACTATGAACTCTACAATAATGTCATCATTCAACATCGATCTATGCGCCTTACAGGGACACGGCCCCTAAAAAGTGGCGTAACCCTACAAAAAACGACTCTGTGCTACGCTGCTTTGGAAAGGGGAGAAAGCGCACATAAGTCGCTCCCAGTTCTTTCCCCAACCAGGACCTAAAAAGGAGGCTATCTTGTCAAGAATGTGTGCATGTAACTGAAAGTGAATTTAAAAACACTTCTTGAGGAAAAGCAACGAAATTTGAATTTGAAGTAATTTTCACTCCCGTTCGGGAAAGCATGACAGACGGCTCTATTAAATAGACTTATATGTTGTAAACAAGTATCGGCATCAATGGTGTGGTAAAAAAACAGTGCTTACCGCCTTGTCGCCGTGAGGTACGTTGATTTTTTGTGTCGACGAATGCGGATCGCCTAATTTTCAAGACTACCAATATGTTCAAAATGACGATCGTTAAACATGGCAGCAGGTAGCACAATATCGTGTCGATAGCCTGCGCAATTATCTGAAAAAGTGGTAAGTTACAGTCAAAACATAAGGAGTGGCGTATCCAACAGAGTTTTCGTATTTATTACACGTAAAAATTAGGAGCCGACTAGGGCCTAATTTTATAACTTAAAACTGAGAAAGGACGGCAATTCTCTCGATGGAACTAGTCGTGAACGGCTAGAAGAATTGATTCAGAGATGCGTGGCGGCTCTGTAAAAACTTTTTCAACCTGCAAAATTTTCATCAGCCTTCCTCAACCCCCGAAGTGACGTTCAGATCGTCATTTCAAGGATCAACTTGTGTAAGAAGCAGGTGGTTCGGTTTTTAACAAAAGCTCTCCCTCGTAGTCCCAGAGAATTAAGGGACCGTACTAGTAGGTGAGTGCTATTTAATTGACAAGCCATCTATAATATTTATCAAATTGACAAGCCATCTATTTATAATACACGCCAATGATTAAACCCCAGAATCTGCTCGCTTTTTATAAGCCTTGTTTTCGTTCACTTCAAATATTGAGAACCTCCTATATAAAAGGGATGATTTTGAATCCCCACTAAATACGCTCCTCAAGCCTGTGATAAGTGCCACTGTCATTCGAATACCTATAACACTTTCGATTAGTTTGCGTATAATTGCATTGATGCGTGCTCAGTCGATTTTGGACCCCAAGTTTTGTTCTTGACCTTCTTGTGGAGTAGCAGCAGCTTAGAAATTATTTTGGATCCGAAAATGCATCCTATTCATTTTTGTAGACAGAGCGTGGCCCGCCTACTGTTGTGGTATCAATCATTTAAAAACGGAGTTTACGATGAAGAGACACTCCCTCTCAGAAATCAAGGCAGAACGGATGGCGCAGTAGATACAAAGATGATAGAAAAATGAAAATGAACCAGGAAGATGGAACCCCTGTTTTTTTGTCTTTGATTTCTGCATGATCGCACATTTCAATCGAAGCTGCCCTCTTGAAGGCAACTCTGCTCAATGGGTAGAGGCTTGGACAGCAAAAGGGGGACCGGTGGTGTAATATGGAAACAACCTTGAGGTTCATTACACAATTTGGGCTTCAATGGTTCCAGAAAGCGGAGATAGGGGAATGGATATATTCGCCTCAGAGTGGGTTAAGGGAGCTCCAGGGTGGATGACCTCTTGGAAAAAATTGGATAGGATGTGGAAAGGATATGTGGAATGTGGGGCACCCAGCGTTTCTTATCAAAAGTGTACCTCAAATGAGTTGTTCGAAAATCGTACCTTTACCATTAGTGTTGGAATATAGCAAGGTGTTACCCACCCGCCCTTCTCTCCGAACTGCATTCTTATCTAGGAAGGCTTGCACTATTACCGTTTTCAAGAATTCTTTTCTCTTTTTTTCGCTGGCGTGCACTGCACAGTGTAGTGCACTCTGCGCTCACGAACATCACACGTGAGTGGCACGTGTCGCGACCCGGTGCCCCGAGGTGGTGGTGGATGAAGCGCATCGGTGGCGGAGCACCGAGGACACGGCAGAACGGGTATTAGAAGGGCCCGAACACCCTGTCCTAGGGGGATGCGTCGCGTAAGGAATGCTCTGACGACTGTTGCCTGCCGCGAGCCTGGTGAGGCCCTCTCCCCTATCTGACGACCTTACGACCGTGCTGCTAAAGATGTGTAGATATTGCTACATAACAGAACACTAAGTATTAAGGTGATTTATACTAATATTACAATAGATTGCGAGACTACGTTATATAGAAGGAGAGAGAGAGATGGGAGGAACCTACGGGCACGATCGGAAGGATAAGCGGCGGAGTGGTATGCGACCGATCCGTTGGCTGTCGTAGATGGTGTTGACGGCAGCTCCAACCATGGCTGAGGACTCCACGGACACAACCGCTCGGCGAGACGACTGGACGACGACTGACAGACAGACGAGCGCGGGCCAAGGCAGAGATGCAGAGCACTTCCCGCACTTCTGGATGTTGCATGCGTTCGAACCATGGGAAAGTGTCTGCGTCCGTGGGAAGGCGTAGTATTTCGTCCTCCAAGGCGTGAGAACATGACTGGAGCACGGGAAAGTATCGGCGCATACCTTGCACGTTGAAAAGGTCGTGACGAGAGTCGCGACAGGCGGTAAGATAGCGTTTGGCGCTTACATCACAGGCGCCAATTTTATCATGCTCCTTTTTCGTAAGCGCTTGTCACGAGAGCTCTGAGCTCCTTCGCGAAAAGCAAACGTGATGTTAATGCATTGCTAGACGTCTGTGTCTCTGGCACGGGCAGTAGGTACTATTGGGTCAGATAGATGTGATATCCGTTGTCTACGGGTCGAACAACCATCGCAGGTTAACAAATGCTAGCCAAATTCAACAAAAGGACAAATCAGATCTATCGATTCATCGGAGAAGGGGGAATAGTTACAAATAGTGCCAGGGCTTGATGTCCGTGTTTTGAACTTCTCGATGGACAGATTAGCATTGCCCATGTGCATACTCCTTGCAAGAAATTGAGCAGTGCTAATGAAAAGTCTTAGCGGGTATAGGATAAACCATGGCCAATCAAGAGTTAAAATTTTGAGAAGAAAGGCAACACATTAGAAAAATATTCAAAATATTCAAACCTGATAGTTAGCTTCCTTCAATGCGCACTGGCGCTCGTCTTCGCCTTCAACAGGTTTCAGTGAGATAAACTGAAACAGCTGCAGCACGAACGGGATCGGTACCCAGTACGCTATCATTCGCGACCTATTCACATGTCCATACTGAAAACAGTACTGTCACCTTGAAGTTTCATTGCTACGCATAGTCAGAAGCATAACGTAACGTAGTTGCAAATTGAAACAACAGGCTTCTCAGGAGCATTAGACCTTTCAAATGTGCAGCAAACTTACCCTGACATGTTTCAGTGGGTGAGCGATGGCCAGATATCGTTCGATGGTCAGTGCGGCCGTTGACCAACTGCTAATATACGATGCTGTCATCAGTACATATTCTAGACCTACGCAATATTCATAGGCAATGAAGTCTACCTGGAATAATAAAAATTTTGCCACAGCTATGAATGGAGCTTGCTGAGGTGCGCACATTTCAAGCCTAATCTATTAGGTTGTCTCAGAAGTTCGTGCGTATTTTGAACTTATTTTTGAGCCTGCACTATTCCAAGCACGTGTGCAACCTATCATCATTATATGTACCACCACTATCAGTGACTTGTTACCAACATCCAACCAAAGATTGGCAACTTAACTCTCAAAGGGCTGGCAGTTATGAGCTGAAAAAGGCAGTGAGGTCGATTTTGAGGTGCTAATGGGAATCGTATTTTTTGTCGTCAAGAAGGCGGCTGAGCAGAAAGGGCAGATGTCTTTCGAAAGAGAATGACTACCGCTGCACGATGAATGTGGTAGGCCTTTTCAGCTGGGCTTCGATATTCAGAATCGCTTCATTATCGAAATGTGTGGCCTCGGGTGTCGTGGAGCGTACACACTTTTTCGAGTTTTAACGACATTTGTTGGGGTTTCACCGTGAGTCTCTGCCGTTGATCTCCCTACACTTGAGTGAATTCATATCTATAATGATTGACATGTCTCTAGTGGCTTACTCGATAACGCTCCAAAAGAGGTGGAGCACGACCTTGTGGTGAATTTCTTCACTTTTCACCCTCTTCTGTCCGATCTAGTCCCTGGAGATTCTAGGTGTGGTTGTCATGGAACCTGAGCTTCTCAACTGCAGTAGTAGCTTTGTTCAACCAGGGCGTACGGATGGAGCTGGACACAAATTGTAGACGGGACTCGTGCCGCACTCCTGTCATCAGTGATCAACTCATGAGGGAATCTTTGGTGAGGCTTCAACCATTCTACGAAGGAGCGAGAACCTCTACGCATTGTGCATCTGGAACACCAGGATGTGGGTTGCCACAAAGCAGGTAGCCCCGTGTGGAGTGACTCCCACGAGAGCACAGATTCTCCAAATCCGACACTGATGGCCTCTCTGAACGTGGATTTTTCTACCGGCTGTAGTCTCCTGGGCAGAGAAGATCCAGCTATTCTGATACCTCACTGTTGGTGAGGGCGAGGAGATGTATCGCGATGCAGATGCCGCTTCAGACTTCAATCGGTAAACATAGCTCTTTTCTCTTTCCACTTTGAACTCGAAGAAGGCGACGATGGTGGGCAGGATTCGGGTATAAGTTACTACACGGTGTGCCCTATCCACAGCCTACGTGAACACATTTTGAATTTGTTGAAGGAGCTTGTGGCATGAGATCCAAAAAATACGCACGAACTTTCGAGACAACCTAATACCACCACAACCGATGGCATGGTCGCGCCGTTTGGTTGATCCCTTATCAGCCGATAAAAGATAAAGGATAAAGCATTTGCCGTTGATCAATCCCTTTTTGGGATGCGGCACGCATTCTACTTCCATTTGTACATTCGTAGTGGCGTTTGAATGCGATGTGGCCTATACAATGACTTGCGGGGGCCAGCCGATGTACAAGTCAGTGTTTTTATCCCAGACAAGTCTGGTACCAATTAACCGACCCCGGAGGGATGGAAGGCTTGGTTGGCCCGGGCGACTCACGACCCAGGATTTGATCCCCGGACCGCTCGCGTGGTAAGCGTGCCACTTGTCACTACACCACTTCCGCCCAAATCTGCCTATGTTGTTACTAACGATGGTGAGTGACAGTGGCGTGACTAGTACCCCAAACGCTATGTTTTTGTCTGAGTTACTCTTTTCCACTTAATCGCCACTAGTTTTCCATCCTTTTGATTCCATCCAACCTTAACGCAGGGATAAGCCTCATAGGTTGACAGAATACAGCGGCTTGTCCGAACCAAAGTGCTAACCCTCGGTGATCTCGGCTGGTTTTCACTGAAGGGTTCAAAAGGGTGTTTGACCACAAAAGCACTCTATGATCAAAGTGAATTGAAGCATGTCTTGTCTTTGGTTATTCAAACAACATACACTAAATTTGATTCCATTTAGTGATTAATAACTACTTTTTTGTTGCTTATGTTTGATTTTGAGACGTTTTTCGGAAGCCCACAAGCTCTCGAGTACTTTGTAGTACAACACTCAAACATGTAGTTCACAATGAAGCTTACACAAGAGCAGATAAGATTATTGATGTCGCATGAGTATAAGCTACAATTAAACCGAACGCTGCTGAACCTTGTCACCACCCCAATAAAACATGAGGTGTAGGAGGGAATGTTGAACCTAGAACCGTTGAGAAACATTTTTTGCAAAGAATGAACCCCACTAAAATTTTGAGCCGCAAACAATGAGCTGGCCGGCTGCAAATGATGGACCGAGAAGATGTTTTGGAAGAGCCGCCTATTTTTGCTCACGTGTAAACTTCACAGTTTGATAATTAATGCAAATATTATACCAAAAAAGATGAAAGAGGTCGTGAGCTTTCGAATGACGTCAGAAACATAGAAAATAATCAAGAAAATTAGATAAGTCACAAGCCAATGTGATCGGCGGACAATTTCGAATCAGCCAAATACATACTCCAGTATTTTTTGAGTTACGTTTTCCTTGTGGATATCTTACCTTAAAGCAGACGAGCAAAATACCAAACAGGAACACGCTGTCTGCACTCGTTAGCGCTATGAGGTAGACATTAGCGCTCACCTGAAAAAGTCTTATAGACTGAACCAATTCAGCTACTATAGCTAATATGAGCTCTCGATTTACTCATATAATTCAGTTAGGTAGGAAGATTGAAAATGTGCATTTAAACTCACTCCAAAATGGATTGAAAAGGTGGCATGAATTTGAAAACATAATCGTGAACCAAAGGTTCAAAATACGGAATGCAGCAAATCATTTTAGATCTGCACGTTGAGCAAATCATCATAATATTTTTTTTGCTGAGTCTTCAAATTTGACGTGATCATTTATGATTATTAACAGAATGAAAAAATACCTCTGTTAGTTATCCAATATTCACATCCTAAGGATAATATCTTTGCAAATTTGCACACGCGTGTTTTGGGATCTCAGGGAGGTATTCCAGGAGATGCCCAGCTTTCTCGAAACGGTTTTTGCATGATATAGAGGTACGTGCATGGAACACAGAACTGTGGTTCATTTTTCCTGAGCGACCCTCTGAATACCAAAAAAGGAGCGAAGAAAAATTTCTTAAGGAACTGCCGTTCTTAACTTTCTTCACCAGTTTTTTAGCCAAAGTCTACGTATAAAGGTTGCTGATGGTCCTAATTATAGATATGACATAAGTTGTTTACGCTGACGCTATTTTTCGCGAATTTTGAAACGCCAACACAAAATGCAAAAAATTGTCACTGCGAGGATTCGAACCACGGACCACTTCATCACCCCTTTTTTGGTATTCAGAGGGCCGCTCAGGAAAAAATGAACTACAGTTCTGTGTTCCATGCACGTACCCCTATATCATGCAAAAACCGTTTCGAGAAAGCTTGGCATTTCCTGAAAGACCTTCCTCGTCAGTGATATAATATAGATTGAGGGAACTAGGATTCCTTATTTTACTCCGGTCCTCCTCGACACTAGCTTCGGCTTGCCGCAAAAGTTTCTCCCTGCCCCTTCCATGGTCTCCAGACACTTCTTTCCCGGCGAAATCTTATTAAAAATCCTAGATTTGGTGCCGCCTACATGTATGCACGGCTTCCGTGCCATGAGCATTTCATCACCACGCTCATCGCTAGCCTCTCAGGGTCTAGGCCGCACTCATCTGAGCTTTCTGTGTAGGCATGTACGGTGCAATAAACGAATTTTGACGGTGCAAATAGGAAATTTTTCCAACAGCGACATAGTTGATTGGACCTTATGGTCACGCCACTAAAAAAACTCTCCAACTGCTGTAGCAAGTCCACATTCGGA